ATATGTATGCATGTTGTACATATATTTCCACATCATGAGTATTCAAGTCTATAAGCTGCCGCTGGGCAATATCATTAACCAAAGTTGTGCTTTCATTTGTAGTTTTTTTGCTTGTTAAAATGCCATGTACTCATATGGGCTTTGAAGGCAAAAGAAAAAAATTTGTCTCTTTAGAGTTGAAGGCGAGAAAGCTATTTAATTTATCTTTTAGCTCAAAATTAATGGATTTTTATTTTATTTGACTTATTATTATTAACTTGTGTTTTTTTTTAATTTATTAGTTTTTTTTGATAATTGTATAACAATATTTTTTAGATTTTCTAGTTCTATATTATATTTCGTTTTTTAAATTTTATTCTATTTTATTTTGTTTTTATTATTTTATTTTACTTCACTTATTTTAATTTAATTTAATTTATTTATTTTATTTTAATGTAATTCAATATATTTTAATTTTTTATATATATTTTTTTGATTTTTTTTCTATTTTATTATTTTTTTTTTATTTTTTTTCTATTTTATTATTTTTTAATTTTTTAAAATTCAAATTTGATTTTCTTTATTTTATTGTACTTTCATTTTCTTTTATTTATTTAATTTAATTTTTATTTATTATTAATTTAATTATTTAATTTAATTTCCTTTTTTGTTTTAATGTAATTCATATTTTGGTTATTTAATTTATTTTAAATAATTATAAATTCAAATTTTAATAATATAATAATATTTCATTCAATTTATTTGCTTAAATTTAATTTAATTTTATTTATTTCGTTTTAAATTTATTATGCATTTAGTTTTTTATTTAATGTAGCTCAAACATTTAATTTAATTTGGGCAATAAAATTTAGTTCGATTTATTTTAAGTTTTATTCCAATTTTTATTTTATAATTTTTTATTTATTTTTTATTTCATTTTATAATTTGCTGATTTTTTTTTTTTAAGTCTATTTAATATTTAAAATATGTTATTTCATTTTATTCAATTAAATTTTATTCATTTTTATCATTATCATTTTAATTTTTATCGCCTTTTTATTTATTTAATTAAATTTATGTAGTTATATTAATTAGATTGAATTTAATTAATTTTAAAGCTGTAGATTTTTTTTTTAGTTTAATCTCATTCAATTTAGTTAAATTACAATAAAAACTAATTTTTAATTTAAGTCATATTTTAATTAATTTTTGGACTTTAAATAGATTGCAAATAAAATGTTTGATATAAAAATAAAAAAAATATATATTTCAATTATATTGGCTTGTGCGTAGTTTTCTTTAATTTATTTGATCTGATTTAATTTAATTAAATTTAATTTCATTTAAATTTTTGTTTAATTTAATTTTAGTTTATTTTTAATTGGATTTAATTTCATTAAACTTTAATTTTAATTTTTGCAATTTATTCTTATAAATTAAAGTAATTAAATTAATTTATTCCACTGAATTCTTTTTATTTTTACTTCATTTTTAATTGCATTAAATGTATTTATTTTTACTTATTTCAATATATTAATTTAATTTTTATAATATATTAGATAAATTATTTATTTATAATTTCTTATTATTATTATTTTTTTTTTTTAATTTGTGTTGGGTTGGAATTCATTTAACTTTTTTTTTTGCTGAGCCCTGTTTTGCTCATCACATATTGATAATTTTTATGAATGAAAATTCTTTGTTTATTGGGGTCTTCCCGCATTATCTATCAATCTATGTATGTGTGTGTGTGTGTGTGAATATGAGCGCTCATTAATCAGCTCCGGCAATGTTCATTAAATCTTATGCTCTCGAGATTTTTCTTCGCTGGCAAATTAACTTCACTTTTGCCTTCGTTGAAAACGAAAAAAAAATTAAAAAAAATATTTTAATTAAACAACAAGTGGCAGAGAATATATACATACGTATATATACATATATGCAATATGCGTGTGGTTTTCTATCTACATATTTTCATTCCAATTATTTATAAACTACATAGGAGTCGCAAAAAGAGGTTAATATTCTAGAGATATTTTAATTGAAACCAGAGCTTGTAGATTTCCATAGGTGAGAATTATAATTTTATTTTAATTTTTATTTGTTTATATTACAGTTTGTTGATTTTGTTTATTTCACCTTTTGTTTTTATTTTAGGATTTAATTTTATTTTATAGTTTATTTGATTTTCTATATTTTCATTGTTATTGTCAATTGTCAATTTATTTGGCCTGCTGTGCATAAATTTAGCACAATTGCCCCCACATAGCGCATAGAATTTGCACTTAGACGTAAACACAGAAAAAATAAATACATTTATGTTTGTATGTATGTATATATCTATATATGTACATATATAGGCTAGTATATTTCATTAGAGCTATACTTAGCCTGAGTATGTGAGCTATTTATGGTAAATAGATAAGTCTAGTATGTGCACATACATCCATATTTATGACTGTCTATGATTAAGCATTTGTGCCAAAGTATTTTATGCAAATCTGGAGCGATTGTTGATGATAATTGAATGAAGTGTATGAAAATAAATATAAAATTGAAATAATAAAACAACAGACAAAAACATATAACTGTCGGAAATAGATGTAAACTTGATTTATTATGGCGTAGACGGCGCTGAATGGTCTTATATACACGTACATATGAAAATAAATGAAGTACGATAAGGGTTGAGAAAACGCTTTGAAATTGAAGACCAAAGAGTGGAGCCAATATTGAAAAGATGTTATTATTAAGTAAATTTAAAATGTAAGTTTTTATATATATCGTTGATAATTGTATAACAGTATTTTTTAGATTTTCTAGTTCTACATTATATTTCATTTTTTAAATTTTATTCTATTTTATTTATTTTTTTTATTATTTTATTTTACTTCACTTATTTTAATTTATTTTTATTTAATTTAATTTATTTATTTTATTTTAATATAATTCAATATATATTTTAATTCTTTTAATAGTTTTTTTATTTATTTTTTCTATTTTATTATTTTTTAATTATTTAAAATTCAAATTTAATTTCCTTAATTTTATTGTGCTTTCATTTGCTTTTATTTATTTAATTTAATTTTTATTTATTTTAACTTTATTTAATTTAATGTACTTTTTTATTTTAATGTAATTCATATTTTATTTATTTTATTTTTTTTTTAAATAATTATAAATTTACTTTATTTATTTTATTTTACTTATATACTTTTTTCACTTTATTTAATTTAATTTACTTATTTTGGTAATTCAATTTTTTTAAATTTTAATTAATTAAAATTCAAATTTAACTTCTTTTAATTTAATTAATTTTCATTTTCTTTTATTTATTTTATTTTATTTTATTTACTTTTACTTTATGTAATTTAACTTCTTTTTTTATTTCAATGTGATTCATATGTTGTTGATTTAATTTTTTTTTTAATAACTAAAATTTCACATTTTGTTTTTTCATTTAATTTTTTTATTTATTCTATTTTTTATTTGTTTTAACTTTATTTAATTTAATTTACTTATTTAATTTTAATGTAATTCAATTTATTTATTTTTTTAATAATTAAAATTTAACATTTTCTTTATTTTAATTTTTTTAAATAATTAAAAACTCAAAATTATTTCTATATTTTTATTTTCTTTTATTTATTTAATTTTATTTTTTTATTTATTGTATATATATATATATATATACATTTTTTAATTTTTTTTGTTAAATTTTATTTATTATTTTTTTAAGGGAAATTTCCCAAAATAATGAAATTACTCATGCAAATACTTCATATATTTATATGCATGTACTAGTACTTAAAACCGAAATAAAACAGCTTGAAAGAACAACTTTTGAGTAAAGGAAATATGCATATGTGTACGTGTATGTGTGTATGTATAAGCAAATGTCAGGGAGTTCAATGTCAGTGCGCTTTATGGACTTTTTACGACTTAGACTTGGAGTGTTTGCTTAGCGTAGTTCATGTGTATATGGTAAATACATATGTCATTTACATATGAAAAACCTACATATATTTCCATTTTTATATATATTTCCGTACCACTCAAGAAAATATCAAATAAATTTCAGATTTGTTTTCCACTTTACTATACTACATAATTGGTGCTTTGTAACCGCTGAAGAGATTTTATGGTCAATTTTAGGTGTTGTGTCTTGAGGTTTTTCCAACAATCGGAAGGACCTACAGTTTATACTAAGTCGCCTCCGATCGGCTTATATCATCTCCGAAATACACTCGGAGGGGTGGGCATTCCCTGCAGAGGGGCGATCGAAGTTATAAAATTTAACTTAATTTTTTATATTTAAAATAATTTTACATAATTTTTGGATGTTGCTGGCACCGGGATATGAACCCGAGCCTTCCAAATGTCAGTACGCAATGCTAACCACTCGGTTACCGCCGCCGCTAATTACTAATTACCAACTAGACTTTAACGTACTAGTGATAATTTTAGCTTTGATCAAAAAATTGTATCAAAAAAATTTATATGCTTGCTCTATATATGCTTGTGAACAACCAACTACTTGCAACGCTGGTTATAGAAAAACAAAAATAAATAAAATATTAACCTTTTTTTAAATTAACCCACGAGCAAGAGAAAAAAATCTATAAAAAATAAAAATTATTTCCTGCAAAAAAGAACAACCGAATATTTATGCACAAGCAAGCATATGTAATATGGCAAATTATAATGGAAAAAAGTTGTATAAATATGCTTGCAACGAGCTTTGTAGCTTTGTATTATTAAATATAAATAGCCACTATACACACATACAAACATTTAGGTGCATTTGTATGTTTCAATGTCAAGCGTTCTGTCGGTGCTGCAGGACGTGCTCAAGTATTTTGCAACGTTTTCCTTTTTAATTTTACTTTTCATTTTTTTCTTTTGGTTGCTACAGTAAAAAAAATACTTTTTGTATTTAACTGCCTTATTTTACAATATATTATATATTTCATATACAAGTTCTCTCTAATTTTTACCCATATTTATTATTTTAATTCTAGTAAATAAATAAAAATGTCAAAGCAAGAATGCGTAGGAGGAAACATTTAAAGGTTAACATTGTTTCAAAACTATAGCATACTTCAAGGCGCCATTTATACACAAGGTAAGTGATTATATTATATAAAGAAATAATCAAACATTTAGAAGCTACAGCTATGAAAGTAAACGGAAATATTGACATTGATATCCGCGAAAAGGAGTTAATAAGAAAATAAAATTAAATAAGAAGAAAAATATTAAAAAATTTAATTATAATAAAATAAATTTATGTTAAAATAATCAAATAAATTACAATAAATCAATGAAATATGACCTAATAAGCGATAGTAACATAAAGTAAAGTAAAAATAAATAAAATAAAAAATAATTATACCAAAATAAAATATAAAGATGTGAATTGAATAAAAAAAAATGTTTGCGAATAAAATAAAATGAAATAAAAAATTGAAAAAAAATAAATTAAAATAAATTATGTATTCCAATAGCGTTAAATTTTATGCTTCCCTCATAAATATGTGGAATAAATCAAAATATTAGTTCAAGTTAATAAGCAAGTCGAAATCAAAACAACAGAACTGTAAAAGTATTTATATATATGTTTATATACCCACTGTTTATGCTGATATGTTCATACATACATACATAGAAATATGTAGAAATTGCGTTGTCAAACAAAACGGCACGATAACCCCTGAACTCATATAATTAAGCGTGAATAAGTAAGTGAGAGAACGACTCATCGAATGTGAACAAAATAATAATACATACATACATATACATACACGTTCAAATTTGTGAAGGTTTTAGACTGTAAGTGCAGAAACGATTCATTTTCTTGAAAACAAAAAATAAAAAATAAAAAACTAAAATTATGACAAAAAAATGTAATAAAAAATAAAAATGAATTTAAAAAATTAAAAATAAATATAAATAAAAAATAAAATTAACAAAAAAGATTTATTGCCAATTCAGCGCAAATTTATGAATAAACAATATACACAGCAAACTGATAAGCATGAAGTATACAATAAATTGAGCACCCAGAACACCAAAAGAGTAATCAAAATGATTTCAAATTTCAACCGACCACTGCTTCATTCCTCTCTAAAACTGACTCATTTTCGAATCCCAGCTCATGACTTCAAGCACTCTATCACTTGATGTCTGAGTTTAGTTCTCAATTCGATTTCGTCATGTTTTGTTCACGGCAAAGCGCGTTTCTACAAGTTTTCCTTTCACTTATCGCCGCTTTTATGTTGCTGCTTTTATACAGTGGCAACGCTGAGGCGTATTCCGGTCTGATACCGCCCGACCCAGGTGTGTTTGTATGTGTGTGTGTAAAAATGTGAATAGTGATATGTCAAAAATGATACTGAATGGAAAAAAAAAATCTAAATATTTTCGGAATGCAAATAAATATATTTACAAAAACAAAAATCCAAATATGTTGCAGCAAAAATGCAAGTTCTGGAAAATTTTGAAAAAAGAAAATAATACAATATTTGATTTATTGTACTGCTAATGCATGTAAAAGTATAAATGTGTACGTGGAAAATAATTTTTTCTGGAATATTCTAATTTTCTCATTAGATAATCCTGGCAAATGTGTTTATCGTGGCGATGAGCTGAAAATGGGCGTCAATTTGGGTATTGCGCCGTGTCAGCGCCTTACATGCCATGAAAATGGTTCCATACTCATTGAAGGGTAAGTACAAATGTAAGGGAAAATATAAAATAAAATTATAAGAAAAAGATATAATTTAAAATATTAAATTTTTTTAAATAAAATAAAAAATTATAAAATAAAATAAAATAAAATAAAATAAAATAAAATAAAATAAATAAAATAAAATAAAATAAAATAAAATAAAATAAAATAAAATAAATTAAAATAAAATAAAGATTGTATATCATTTCCATTTTTATATACAACAATACAATTTTTCTTTTAAAATACGTGAAATTTAATAATTTTTTTTTTTAATTTTTTCAAATTAATGTTTGCAAAGACAACCATAAAAGCACGTGTGGTTTAATAAATAATAACTCTATAAATGTTTGTTTATAGGGTTTACAAGGAAAAGTGCACTTTCCACTAATCGAATTAATTAATTGAATCAACAGACAACTCAATTATTAACGATGCACTTTTTAGCAGGAAAAAAAATATGAAACTTTCAGTTGTTCTTTGCCATTTTGTTGTATTTATATACACATGTAATATATACTTCTTCCATATTTTTACAAAAAAAAATTACAAAATAAAAATATAATATTTCTTTATCAACCGTACTCCCTTCCCCTTTACAGCTGTGGCCGTCTACGCTTCGAGAGCTGCAATTACGGCGAGCGCATTCACTTGGACAAGCCATTTCCGGAATGCTGTAAGCTGCGCTACAAATGCAAGAAAGCCGATGGCACGCCATACTACATAGAGCGGGATACGTTCGCCAGCGAGCAACAGAATAAACTCAAACGCCGCTGAGTGGAGTGGATTGGAGTGGAAGAGCGCAAAGTTCGATCAGAGGGCGCTGTTCTGGAATAGATTTAGGTTAGACTAGAAATGGGTAGGAGGCGTAGCTAAAAGTTGAGCACAGAGAGCAAAGTGTTGAGCCAAAGAGAGAGTGAGAAGAGAGTGTAATCGTACAATAAAACAGTCGGGAGGATCGACGCTTTCTCTCGGAGTGTTTTGAGTGAAAATTCGAAATGAAGCTATGTTTTGTTGGAGGTTACCAATGCTGATAAGGCTTTCTAAAGGCTCATATGTAGTTATGTGTTGTTTTTCTTAGTTCTATAGTTACATATGTATATGAATGAGTACGAACAAGTTTATATGTATAACTCTAGATCGTAAAATTGATTGTTTGGACTTTATGTGTTGTTTTTATAAATTTGTTTAGTTGTAGAAATAAACAAAAATATATTTATTGTCTTTATGGAAAAAATTGCCAGTTGAATTTTTTATTTATTTCAAAAACGCCTTCAAAGAGCCAGAATCTCTTAGTCACCTATTACGGGTCTTGGGCCTTAATGAGTATTTACTTCTCTAATATTGTTCGTGGGACCAAGTAGTGAGGTTTGCAGGGTTATGGGGTAGAATCATGGCCAAACATACAACCAAAACGGAATAAAAAGTCTATTCTATCCTCAGCAGAGAATGCCAAATTCTGCGAGCGTGTTTCTGACTTGAAATAAAAAAGTTCACTTAAAAATCTAGTCGCGTTCAGGAAGTAGCTTAAAAATACTTTCGGTTCTTCCATTTGTAAGAAACCCATTTCTGGTTAGTTACCGAGCCTCTCCACTCGAAGTATTTCCTTTTTTTCCGTGGTAAGAGATTAAGGACTCCCTTCACCACTGGATTAGAGAATGGGTTGAAACCGTCACCGAAACTCCCCGAAGAGAGAATTCACGTTAGTGGAACATCGTTAAGTAGATTGAATGAGCGTACCAATGTCCCCCTTATTGCTCTCCAATGAATTGAAATAATGTTATACCTATGCGCATTTGGGTTGAAACTTCAATTGGGTTGAAACCGCATCTTCCTCGAAACTATGGTTCCGAGAATGGGTTGAATTCGCTACCGAAACTCTTCTGTTTTACCGTGGTACCAGTTTGCTGTTATCGAGAGACCTCGTAACCGAAATAACTTCCCGGTCGTTTCCCATTTGAACGTCAATACAGCGCTATAGTTTGCTGATCTGTGACTTATTCATACGCCGCATACTCAGAAGAATTAGTTTTGAGTAATCCTCCAAGAGTACTTTTTTCACCACACCAGCTGCTGAAAGTCAGTCCGTAATAGTCTGCTATAAATGTTCTTCAGATACTTAGAATCGAGGTTAGGTTTATATCGCGATGAAACTTTCAAAAGGTTAGTTTTTGAACTAGAGTTAATTCGATTTAGGAATGGTTTGCAGAAAAACACCATAAAATAGTTTATAATGACCTTTGGGACATGCCTTAGCAGAGATCTCATAGAGAGGTGCCTTCTTTACCAGACTGCTCTCTTCAAAAGAGTTTGGTAGATCTTCTCAAAACTATATCTCGTAAAAAGTTCCCTAAATCAGCTCATAATGGGCTCAGAATTCGTCTTTTTCTCTATAATGCTAAAATCAGTATTATTCAGAAGAGCCCTGTGGAGCGCATATCCGTTGTTTTCAGACTCCTCTCCCTTCAAACGAGCTCAGTACATCTTCTCAGAACTAACTCCGAAAAAAAGAACTGCGGCAAGTAAGTCTTTAATGCTCTCTTGTATAAAATTTAACAGAAATCTCACAGAGAGCTCTTCATTTTATTCTCTTTTTCACCGAAAATCACACACCTCTCTTCAAGCGGGACTAGTATATCTTATTAAAGTCTTCTCCCGTTTGTAAATGGTTCATGATCTCACGTAAAGCCATCATCAGTTCCGCCTTATAACGCAGATGAGGTCTATAAGCCTATGCCAGTCCACCATTCCTCCGTTTTGGGTGCTTTCTTATGTCGAAGAACGAGCTCCTTACAAAAAACCACTCTTAGTCATCTCGAAATAATCTCTTCAACTTTACTGAGGCCTGATCTTATGGAGAGGTACCCTTCCTTCTTTCTCCACCGTACAGCGACATTCTTGTATATTTATTTAAAAACTTCGCTCCGCTTGCGTTGGGGGGCAAGCAGCTCAACTCATTGGGCTGATGATGGCTTATTTATGTACACTCAATGCCAGTAAGCAAGTTGCAATGCAAAGGACACGCTATGCAACGAGCCGTATGAGCAACATTGCCGCTTAATTAAATTTATGCAAAATATGAAGGACCCAGAATGTGAACAAAGGAGCAAAGCGAATGCAACGGATCTTCTCACGCATTTGCCTCTGTTCATTTGCGTGTATATGTGTTATGTGTGTGCGTAATGAAGCGTATCAAATTAGTAGAATATGGCTGAGTTGAAGTGGGCGACGTGAGTCGACGGAAGAGACGCGATGCTGAGCCTACATTATCCCCGTTGATGAGACGACAAAAGGCCACCAAGCGAGCTACCAGGTCTTTTTGTTGTACTCGTATTGTGCGCCTGTCTTTTAATTTCTCTGATGTTATTTGTCGAGCTCGCGCGCGAACTCATTGCGGTAATAAACAATGTCAACAATGAAGGCTGACAGGCAATAAAATGGGCTGACAGGTAAATGAATGAATGAATGAAGGTGGGAAGGCAAATAAGCAAAGCGAAGCAGGGCATGGGGCGTGTGGCGAGCGTTAGGACAGAGAGGCATTGGCAGCGCGCAAGGAAATATGTCATGAAGATGAGTCAATTTCTGCACAACTCGATGTGGTCGGATGGAAGCTGCACTCCGACTTCTGACGAAATAAACAAATATTTTATTGATTGACAATAAAGTTAAGCGGAGCTGCGTCGTAAAGACAAGACGATGGAAGCCATTTAAAAGTGCGAAACGCAGTAGTCGCCAAAGATGAGTGCAGTGGAGGTGTCTTCTTGAAGGAGCCGTTTGGTGCAGCTGATTGTTGTTGATTTTGTAATGGGAAAGCAGGACAATATGCGAAGCTAACAAAGTTAAAAACGTCTATTAAGGTAATTAAAGAAGCTCAACAAGTGCCAGAGCGGAATTTGGCGCAGAAGACGAGAAAAGGATTACTTGATGAGTGAAACTGACAGTAAACAATTAAGAGTTGTGTTAAGATGTCAAGTAGAGGTCCGCCAAATTTGTTTAAATAGAAGAATAAAGCTGGTGGGACGAGCTTGGAGAACCAACTTAATGGAGAGTATGCTGAGATATGCAAAGCTCGGTCCACAGTCGCGCTGTAAATTAAATCTTAACCCGTGGAAGCACATACGATACAACGAAGTCTACCTTGCTTGGACCGCATAGTAATCTGAACGTTCTCACGGGCATAGTTATGACGAGATTTTAGTGAGAGAGTGGAAATCAAACGAAAGGGATTCTAGAATTTCATGAGTCGCTAGGGAATTCCGAGCTCGCTCTGTTTGGTGGCCCGTTTCAGGTGCATTGAGCATAATGGAGCTAATAAAATTGAAGTAAGTTCGCTTTTTAAGGTCTCACTGGGCAAGGGAATATCGGAATTTTAGTGACGGAGCTAAAATCGGAGGAGAAAAATGCCAGAACTTCTTATAAGACTAAGTATTCCTACAGCGCTTGTATCTACTTTTTGAAGGAATGTTAAATTCGATCAGTCGGTGGTCTTTCTTTGAGGCATTAAATAAGTGGGAGACCAGCCATGTACCCGGAAAGTGTTATGCGTTGTGAAATAAAGGCTTCTCATAAAAATCATCAACCGTTCGGAGGCGGTTCCTCCATTTGTTGGAAGATCATCAAGATGCATACCACAAATCGGAGGAGGAACCCGGCCGAAAATCGCTTCAGCGGTTACAAAGCTCCAATTATATATAAGACCAAAGGCAAAGTGAATGCGATTACTTCCATAGCCGTCCAAATTTAGTCATGGAAAAACTAGTTGCAAAGTAAAGAGAAATTGCCTACTTTGTAACTAGTTGGATTTCATTGTAAAAATTGATGCTACGTGAAGAGTACCTGCTTTTTATTTTGCAAATTTTTACCTAGCGATGCTTCAGCAACCCTCGTTCTCCACCCGCTTCAGCCAACTTGAGAGCAAAAATTATTTGAAAATTCGCACTGACGTCAATTTGTATGGGCCACTAAGCGAAAACCTAAAATGATTTTTGCCACATATTTTCCAACGGTGTGTTCATGCATTTATATGTATGTGTGTACCAAGTAGTCGCTGCAATTTTCCAAATCTGCAGGCAAATGGTCGAATAGCAAAGTGTGGAGCGAAATTAGATTTTGTTGGTGCTAAGGTTTCACTTGGCAATTGATAAGTGGCTTAAGCAGTTGGGCCTTAAGCAGAGCTTATTGCCAGGCGAGTGTAATAAAGCGACAAATGCAAATATGAATGCAGGATTAAAGAAAAATTCGTGTGAGGAAAAGTGATTTCATAAAATTCTTTCTACTTGAACCTTGCGACAACTGACCCGTTTAATTTTTTTTAACAATAAATTCATTTGTCCAAATTTATTACATATATATATTATGCAATTGATATTGGTTTTGTTAATTTAATCTATTTCAAGTTTCATTATTAAATTTTTTCTTTTTTAACTTAACTTTATATTCCTTGATTATAATTTATTTCAGTTCACTTTAATTTATTTTATTTCCTTTTTTATTTTATTTTTTTTTGAATAATTTTTTAGTTTAGCTTTGTTTTATTATTTTTTTTTTAATTTATTTTATTTTATATTTTTTAATTTGATTTATTTTAATCTAAATTAATTAATTTAATTTTATTTTATTTAATTCAATTTTGTTTTAAATGAATTTATTTTTTAAATAAATTTTGTTCACTCACCTTTTTGCAGTAGTCCAATAAATCCATTTTATCCCGCAAGCAGGTGGCGCCCGATGTCTTCTTATTCAAGTCCGTTACCCAGCGTCCCTCTTCGGACAGATATTGCGGTTGAAAAACTTGACCAGCTTCGCAGAGCACCGCAATTTGGGGCTCCCAACGTGGTGAGGCGGCCTGAAAAGGCAAAGAAAGTAGAATGAGCGATTAGAGATTTTTTTTATTACTTTTTTTTTATAAATTTTTGATATGAATAATATTTTTAAATTTTTAATCGTCCATCGAAAATTTCCCTTTCCTCACTTCATAATTGCTCATATTTAAGTTTAAGAATTTTTAATGCCTTAATTTTCACTAGTTTCCCTCAGTTTTTATTGGTCCATTCACGCTCCAATTCAAAATCAACATCAATCATACGCCCCGTCGTCCAGCACTTGAGTGCCTTGGCGCACCGTCCGGCCGGGCGTGCATTTGTCGCACACTTTAACAGCCAAAGCTAATTTTTAATGCTCACTTTAATAAGCAGAAAAGCCAATTTCGAAACGTGATAACCTAATTTCACTTAACCAACAGCGCCAGCAGCCCCCACAGCAGCGGCAGCGACGGCCATTTGCAGGCACTTCTTCATTCTCAATCTTCTTGGCAATCAATTCGCTCGGCTTGAAGTATTGCCACAGCCAACTGAGTGAATCTAATGGCTCTGGGGCATTTTAAAATCAGCTTTAAGCACTTTTTTTCCAACTCCTAAGGGAGGAGTTTTTTTGTATTTGGACTAAGAAGAGGTGGGAAATAAAATTATAACAAATTGGAAAAACAAATGTCTATTATTTGACAAAATAAAAAAAATAAAATTATTTTATAATGAAATAAAAAATACTCAAGTACTTAACTCATTATATTTTCCTTTTAATTTTTGATATTTTCTTCTATTTCTATTATTTAGAAACCATCATTCTTCAAACAAGAGAGGCCTGCCAATTTCCATTGTCGTTGTTGTGGTCGCATTGTCATACGCAGTGCTAATTTGCATTTTAATGAGTACAATCATACGCATAAACAAAGATATATTTATATTTGTCCGTATGTATGTATTTTGAAGGGTACTTATTTTGTTGTAAATACTATTCCTAGCATAAGCTTTCTAAGAACCATCAAACAATATGCTATTATTTACGGTATTGTTTTTAAACTTTCCATTTTCTTTCATTGTTTTGTCTTTTATTGTAATTGTTGTTGTATGCTGCGGATGTGTATGGCCTTGTAACAGTTCTTGTGAGTGTGCGGAATTTGTTTTCAAGCATTTCTATTGAATATGCCGCTAAGTATGGCTGAAGAAAATAATATTAAAATATAAGAAAAGCAAAAAAAAAAATGAAGTAAAATAAAACAAAAAAAAAAAATAAAATTAATTAAAAAAATATAAAATGAAATGAAATTAAGTAAAATAAAATAGAATAAAATAAAATAAAATAAAATAATATATAATAAAACAAAATAAAAATAAAATAAAATAAAATAAAATAAAATAAAATAAAATAAAATAAAATAAAATAAAATAAAATAAAATAAAATAAAATAAAATAAAATGAAATAAAATAAAATTAAATTAAATAAAATAAAATTAAATAAAATAAAATAAAATAAAATAAATAAAAATAAATGAAAATAAAATATAAAAAGGAGAAAAAACAAAATTAAAAAATATAATTTAAATTAAATAAAGAAATATAAAATAAAATAAAATAAAGTAAAATAAAACAAAATACAACTAAAAATTAAAGTAACGGTAAATTTGAAAATGAAAATAAATGTAAAAATAAAAATAATTAGACCAAATTAATTAAATTCAAATGAAATAAAATAAAAAAATTAAAAGTAAAGTAAAATAAAATTAAATAATATTAAAATAAATTAATCAAATTCAAATAGAATTAAAATTATTAAAAAATAAACTAAAATAGAACAAACAAAAACAAATTAAAATAAATAATATATAATCATAACATCAGATGAGGCTAATGACTACCTTCTGAAAGAGAAGAATAAATTTTTCCCTGGCAGCTGGAAACACTACCTCAAAGTAAATTTAAAATTATAATCTATGCTGTTTGTAAAAAGTTAAAATGGCAATGCTTTTGTTTAGGTAACAAAACTTATTTTTTTTTTTTACTAAAGAAAACTAATTTGTCTGCATTTGGGTAAATAAATCGGTTGAGAATTCAAGTCTTGTATGTTTTTTGTGAACAAAATACACAACTATGAATATTTCTTTGAATTTACTGTTTTCCATTCAGAACCGAAAAATCTCTCATTTATTTGGCCAAATTTTTACCCACCTTATCGCTTTCATCTCCCTCACTCCTCATCTTCTTTCTGCTCACGTTCGGCCCTCTTTACTACACTCAGCTGCCCACATTAGCGTTTCTAAGGATCTTTGTCAAGCTACTTAAGTGGATTTTAGTTGGTTCTATGCTCTTTCTGTCCACGTCTTTATCGGCGTCAAAGCATTAGCTCTTGATGCGAAAGTCTACTTTTGTCTCGTGGCGCCTTTTCCCAATTTCAAATTCTGTTAACAAAGGCAGGAGAGATGGTGAAAGAAAATAAAAATAAAACCAAAATGGGAAAACAAGAAAAATAGTGGAAATTCGGCATTGTTCAACGGCGTGAAGCCTTGAAACTTTTAGCGTGAAAAAAAATTTAGAAATAAAAAGGAATTAAATAATATAACAACAAAAGCAAAATGCGGAACAAATAAACAAATAAACAAATAAAGAGTGAAAGCAAGCGCCAAAAAAAAGTTTACAGAAATCGGTGGAAAAGTGTTGAGAATAACAGCAACTTTGCCACTTTTAAACTCAAACAATAACAACAACAGCAAAAAGGACAATAACAACAAAGCAAACAAAGTCATGGAAGTGATAAAGCAGAAAACTAAAAAGTATGACGGCTGATAGCAGAATTAAGTGGTTGGTTGAATAAATGAATGATTTTCACAAGGTGGAAGTGTTAGAGAAGGTCAAAAAGGTTCAGCATGCCGAAGAGGTGGGGCAACTCAAAGCTGGGTAGGTGTCCAAAATAGTTGAGTGCGTGCTATTGTAGCTTACTGAAGGCTCTCCACATAGTAGCGGTGTTCGTGCAGAGCAGTCCGAAGCGTCTGTGAAATGCGACAAGCTTAAAACCACATAGCTCATCTTATTCACAAGTAGTGAAGAATCCACTAGAGCTACAACTGAGCTGCACTCTGAGAGCAATACTGTGACAGAGAAGAGTAAGCTTCTCAGAGTGAGGCACGACTCACTTAGACGGATAGATACTCGATAAGACAAATATGGGATATATGTTCACATCAGGGGAATCTCTTTAAAATGAAGGGAAGCCGAAATTTATTGAAGAGTTGTGAGTTGTCTGCGAGAGTTATTCGATCCAAACCAGATTTTTTCCTAAGAATTTTAACTTCCAATTTATTTATTTTTCCTGCAAATAATATATATATATATATATATGTATGTTTTTTAATCTATTTTATTTAATTTAATTTTATTTCTTTTTATTGTATATTATATAATTTTATTTATTTGAATCCAATTTAATTAAATTTCTCTGATTTAATTTAATTTATTTTATTTCATTTTCTTTTATTTTATTTAATTTAATTTTATTTTTTTTATTGTATATTTTTTAATTTTATTTATTTGAATCCAAATAAATTAAATTTCTCTGATTTAATTTAATTTATTTTATTTCATTTCTTTTTTTATTTAATTTGATTTTATTTATTTTAATCCTTTTTAATTAATATTCTTCAATTTAATTTAATTTTATTTTATTTCTTTTCATTTAATTTTATTTAATTTAATTTTATTTATTTTAATCCAATTTAATTAAATTTCTTTTATTTAATATAAATTATTTTATTTTATTTCATTTTTTATCTTTCTTTTTTCCTAATATTTAAAAAAAATTTTTTTTTTGATATTTGTTTTCTCGGTTAAGCCCTTAAACCCGGTCATGCCGCTGCGCATACGTGATTTATTAAGCGTTACGTGTATGCACACACACACACACACACACACACACACACATACATACATATGCTTGTATGTAATTTCCCCCGCACGACTGAGCACTCAAACTGTGCAAATAAGCGTGTAAAAAAGGACCTCTACCGGGTTGGAGTGGGAAGGAAGTGCATTTAGCATGAAAATATTTATTTATAAATAAAAGCGGAAGCCGTGAAATCCATTGGGTTGGAGAAAAAATGTAGCTTTTCTCTATTGATGCATGAGATATGAATAAATATTTTCATACAGATTTTTGCCATCTATTGAGCATATTCATTTGTAAAACTGAGCTCGGAATAATTCACCTTGACAGTAAATTTCATGGGGGGTGAAGACGGTTGAAGGGGTATCGTATGGCTGATCAGAAGACTGAGAATTAGTCAAACTGAAAAAAAATCTCGCTTTCTGATCGAGTTAAAGAACGAGTTTAAGTGTTGCATTGAGATCATGCCGTGGACTGGAACTTAGAAAGCTGAATGTCGGCATAGAAGCTTTCACAGAGTATCATATTAAGACTACGGCTGCCACTAGAGTGACCCTATTAGACTGCTAATTCGCGACAGAGCTTAAAACAGAGTGAGAAAAAGAAAAGCCTAAACCAAAAATGCCTATCAAAACCACCGACGTTGTTGAAGGTGAGACCGAACCTGTGACAGAACCTAAAAGGGAAACTGATGAGCCTGCAACTTGGTGTTGGGAACTTTGGCTTGTACTCATACTGAACCTACGACTGGGTACCCAACAAGGGCGTAGGCTGTAATAAACACTGCAGACAGGAAAGTTTAATGAGGAGAAAGCGGTGGGAAAGCAAACTAAGGAAAAATTATACCAAGAAGCAAGTAAACGAGCATAACATCATTAACTCCAGCTGTGCTTAGCGAGAAAAGTTGAAAAGAAAGAACAAAAAAAAAAAAACAAATTTTGGTTGGAGGTGGGTTAGTTGCCTCGGTTACGCGAGCTTCCTTGATACCAACAGGGTGTTGCGTATACGCAATGCTGTACACGGACACACAAGAGCACACATCTACATACATACTTCACATTGTCTGGCTGTGGTGTGGCCTAGTTTTTGATTATTTCTATTTTTTTTTTTTTTTTTTTTTTTTTTTTTTGGAG